ACCAGCATCGCCATGTATCTCTCGATCACCCTAGTATCTTATGATTTCCCTCCTTCCGCAATCTAGCTGCTCTGACGCTAGTTACATCTCGCTCTCCGACAAACATCGAATAATCTAATATTTTCTACTCTGTACTGACCGAAAATCCTTCGAAAACTTTCTGCTGTAGATGGGACTGCTGAGCGAGATGCAATCAGTGCACTGGTTGATTGTGCCGTGCCCGAGAAACTGGAGGCTTTCCAACAAGTTCTCCTGCAGTTCGCCAATCACCACCTAAGTAAACTCAACCTCGTTGTTACGGATTTGCAAAACCAGGTCAGTTAAAACAGAAATTGCACATAAACTTTCAGGTTTGTTTGCCCAGCCACGGTCACTGCAGGTCACATGATACGCTGACTCGACAGCAGCTCCCCCTCTCTTTTAAACCCTTCACGTTGTGTGGCCTGACATTTTGCGTATCAAAATTTTCTATCAGGCAGCAAAGGTGGTACTAAAGCAAAACAGTTATGGGCTCCTTATACGCAGCACCGTAGTGTACTATACACAAGTAACTTTCGTAAAAATTGGAAGGTAGACATCCCAAAAAGTTAATTTCAAGGAAAGACGTTCTTTGAGAAAATATGTTAACTTTATTTAGTATTAAGAAGTTAAAACTAAACCAAAATAACCAAACAGAAATAAACTAAAACTAATAAAAGTAAATAATAAACAACAACGAAATAAAAAGTTCAGTACCTTTCAAAGAAAGAAGTTCTTTGAGAAAATGTGGTGATTTTATTCAGTAAATGTTCGACACTCGATACCCAGATCGTCGTCAGACCCGAAACAGTGTGCAACGAACAAATGAAATTTCAAAAGTGCGGGTACATTTATATAGTCATTTAGTGTGGGCGCTAATTGGAAGCTGCAACTAGCGTCAGTCCATAGTGGATAAAATTAGTAGTCGCAGTAGCATAATGGTTATTTGGAAACTGTAATTTGCGTCAGTTCGGGATAAGTTCGG